GTACAATATATACGGTACATTATATGCGGTACATTATATACGGTATTTATGGGTACATTATATGCGGTACATTATATGCGGTACAATATATACGGTACATTATATACGGTACATTATATGCGGTACATTATATGCGGTACATTATATGGGTACAATATATGCGGTACATTATATGCGGTACATTATATGCGGTACAAAATACGGTACAATATATCGGTACAATATATACGGTATTATATGCGGTACAATATATACGGTACATTATATGCGGTACATTATATACGTAAATTTATGCGGTACATTATATGCGGTACAATATATACGGTACAATATATACGGTACAATATATACGGTACATTATATGCGGTACATTATATGCGGTACATTATATACGGTACATTATATGCGGTACATTATATGCGTACAATATATACGGTACATTATATACGGTACATTATATACGGTACATTATATGCGGTACATTATATGCGGTACATTATATGCGGTACAATATATGGTACATTATATGCGGTACATTATATGCGGTACAATATATGCGGTACAATATATACGGTACAATATATACGGTACAATATATACGGTACATTATATGCGGTACAATATATACGGTACATTATAGCGCATTATATACGGTACATTATATGCGGTTATGCTATATGGTACAATATATACGGTACAATATATACGGTACATTATATGCGGTACAATATATACGGTAATATTATACAGGTACATTATATGCGGTACATTATATGCGGTACATTATATGCGGTACATTATATGCGGTACAATATATACGGTACATTATATGCGGTACATTATATACGGTACATTATATGCGGTACATTATATGGTACAATATATGGTACATTATATACGGTACATTATATGCGGTACATTATATGCGGTACATTATATGCGGTACATTATATGCGGTAATATATACGGTACAATATATACGGTACAATATATACGGTACTATTATATGCGGTACAATATATACGGTACATTATATGGTACATTATATACGGTACATTATATGGTACATTATATGCGGTAAATATATACGGTACAATATATACGGTACAATATATACGGTACATTATATGCGTACATTATACGGTACATTATATGGGTAATTATATGCGGTACATTATAATATAGGTACATTATATACGGTATTATATAGGTATTATATGCGGTACATTATATGCGGTAAATATATGCGGTACATTATATGCGGTACATTATATGCGGTACAATATATACGGTACAATATATACGGTACAATATATACGGTACATTATATGCGGTACAATATATACGGTACATTATATGCGGTACATTATATACGGTACATTATATGCGGTACATTATATGCGGTACAATATATACGGTACAATAACGTCAAATACCTCGTTATGTATACCCTAGCCTCTACACTAAGACGATTTACATAAGGAAGAAATTACTATGTTAAGGAGAGCTATTTTGACATTACTTTATTTCTTGTTATTGTTATGATGAAAAATAAGAATAATAAAAGGATTATAAAGGAGAGAATTATGACTGAGGTTGTGAGTCCTCTGCAGGCTATGGGACGCTGGTGTAGTGTGTTAGAGATATAACCTTTGTTTACAAGTGTGTTTAGTGATGATTTCATTATGTTATAGTCTCTCTCTCTCTCTCTCTCTCTCTCATTACCTCCTAAACATCATCGGGTTACACTGACTCACTCTGTATAGATATAGAACCTAACCTAACCTAATTCTCTCTATCTCTCCCTCCTCCCTACCTCCCACCTCCCCCCACTCATTCTTTCACCTCCCTCCCTACCTCTACCTCCTACTCTCTCACCTCCCTCCCTCCTTCCTCTACCTCCCTCCCTACCTCCCACCTCCCTACTCCCCACACCTCCCCACTTCACTCCTCCCTCCCCTCCCCTACCCACCTCAAGTAATCTCCCATAACACCCCTAAAGAATATGACTCTACTTTAGTCTCTCTTTTATTTCAATGATTAATTAACAGTTTTCAAGGGCAAGTTAAACCTGGAGGGATTAGGTGTGAGGGGAGGAGGGGGAGGTGGGAGGGAGGAGGGGGAGGTGTGGGGAGGAGGGGAGGGGGGGGAGGAGGGGGAGGTGTGTGGGGGAGGAGGAGGGTGAGGGGAGGGGAGGGGGAGGGAGTGTGGGGGAGGAGGGGAGGGGGGGGGTAGGGAGGGGAGGGGAGGGGGGAGGTAAGGGGAGGAGGAGGATGACAGACAGGTAGGCTTCCGCAGCGACAGAGATGAATAGATGTGTATGGTAGACAGTGGGGGGAGGGGGTGGGGGAGGGAGGAAAAGGAAGGGAAGGGGTAGGGAAGGGGAGGGTAGAAGAAGGGGGAGCTCTAGAGAAGGAGGCAGACAGTGAGGGCGGGGAGAGGGGGAAGGGTGGGGGGAGGAGGAGGGTTACAGAGGGAGGATCTCTAGTATAGTTCAGGAGGGAAAGAAGTGAGGGAGGAAATCATACAGACAGACAGACACTAAGGCACTAAGACTCTCTCTCTTCCCAACCCGAGATAATACTTACCACGTGTTTTATGCCCTTCTTATCCGCCAATATCTCTACCATAATACAACTCGTTAAGAAGTTTTTTTTTAACGATACCTCTTAACTTCCAACTACCTCGTTCCTCGCTATAATATTTAAAACAAAACACACCACAACTATCTATGTTATTTTCTTTTATGAAGTGACAATATATTCACCCCTCCAACAAAAAAGTGGTTATAATAATAAAAAAAAAACTAAAACAAAAAATAAATAAAAAATAAAACAAAACATAAAAACAAATAAATAAAATAAAAACGAAAAAATAAACGAAAAAAAAAAGACTATTTTATTGTTTTTGGGGGGATTAAATATTTTCCCAAAACTCGATATAATAATAAAAAAAAATAAGCAAGTAATATTTGAATGGCTTGTTTTTCTTAATGCGTCAAGATGTTGTTGTTTATTTTATTTAATACGTATTTAATGTTAGTTCGTGATTAATATTGTGTTAATGGTCTGACACACACACACACACACACACACACACACACACACACACACACACACACACACACACACCGTAACGTTACCTGGAATTAGGTTAGGATAGGATGGTTAATCATCAGGTAAAATAAACTAAGAGACAAATCATCAGGTGATCCTACTAGCTGCTTCCTGGAATTCAACAATGTTTTTCCTAAATTATTTCAGTTTTTTTCTGGAGGTTTTTTTTAATTGGTAACTTCAAGCAGACGGCTGCTAGACGTGTGTGTGTGAACGAACTACAACAGACTGACTGACAGGTAGAATACACTAGCACCCCCCACCCTCCCATACCTTCCCCACAACCCCTACACCCCAACCTCCCTACACCCCCACAACCTCCCCACACCCCCACTCCTTCCCTACACCCACCACGGTAAATCAACCCCGGGGAATCACGGTTCAGTATCTCGCGGTTTATGGCATTATCATCCCCCATCTAAACTAACCACTAAAATCATTACTCTCTCACGACACTCCTGCTGCTGCAACCAACCAACCAACCAACCAGCCAACCAACCAGCCAATCCACCGATCAATAAACTCAACAGGGAGAAGTATTAACCTGGGAAATATGCAGAACTCATCCTCCAACCACTCATCCTTCACTCCTCCTCACACTTGTGGTAGAGATAATCAAAGAGAGCATCTCGAGGTGAGTGTCGTATCTCCTGCCCCCCCACCCCCACCCCCACGAGGACCACTCCAAATGCACAACAATACTACCCGATCCCCCTATCTACCTGCCTACCTCCCCATCCTCATCTCTCTCTAATTCGCTCTAATTATCTCTCTCCTCCCCCAACCAATCTCTATCCCTTAACGATATTTTATTTCCTTCATCCTTTTTCCCCATATTCCTCCCTCCCCCCTCCCCCTCCCCCCCCAGCCAAACATCTGTCCGGTATCTGGTGGAACTCAGACATCAACAGGTCGAGAATTACCATATTGACGGGGGTGGAGGTGGGTGGGGTGGTGTGAGTTGAGGTGGCTATGGGGTGGGTGAGGGGTGAGGTGGTGGTGCGGACTTGGGTGGGTGAGGGGGGGGATGATGTTGTTGTTTCCTGTTATTTTTGTTGTTGTTGTAATTGTCATTATTATTGTGGTTATTATTATCATTGTTGTTGTTATTGTTGATACTGTTTTTGTTATTGTTGTGCCGGTTATTGTTATTGTCATCGGTATTGTTGCACGAGAACCAGTTTGTGTAGTACCAACATACACCTTCACCGGGGCTGTTAATGATGAACCTGTTACTAATGGTTCTATCAAGGACGAGACCAGGCGTGAGAGAGGGTGAAACAGAACAGCGACTCTCCTGAAGATCAACGAAGAGCAACACACGACTATGCAATTGTTGATTTAGTTTGCAATAGTGACGTTAGTCAAGGTTTAGGTTTAGGTTAGGTTAAGTTAGGTTTAGTTTAAGTTAGGTAAAAGTTGATGATACACCACCTGGGAAGACAGTATCTGGGCCCACCTCCTCCAGATCGCTTCCTTACACCTACAGGTAAACAAGTTCCCCTTTAAGTTACACACACACACACACACACACACACAGACACACACACAGATGGACAGACACACACACACACACACCATCACAGACACGGACAGAAAGACAGACGAAAAGACAGACAGGGACTAGCAGACGGAAGCGTGGTTTCCGGTGGCTCAGAGCTGGACGGGTCCGTGTTGATAATACTGGTTTTACTACAATTAAGTAAATGTACATCCTCCTCCTAGTCCTCCTTAACCCCCCCCCCCCTTCATTCTCAGTTCCTCCTCCTCCTCCTCCTAGTCCTCCTTACCCCCTTCATTCTCCAGTTCTTCCTCCTCCTCCTCCTGCTCCTTCTAAATGTGGTCTTCCTCCTCCTAATAGCGAACGTCTTCCTCCTCCTGCAGGTTGTTCGGGTGTGGGCGGTGTGGGCGTTGTGGGCTGGACATCTCGCCTCAGGAGATGGTGATGCGCGCCCGTCACCACGTGTTTCACTGCTTCACCTGCGCCTCCTGCCACGTCATAAGGTAGTGTGTGAGGAGTGTGTGGGGGTGTATGGGGAGTGTGTGGGGGTGTATGGGGAGTGTGTGGGGGAGGAGTGTATGGGGAGTGTGTGTGGGGGGGTGGGAGGGTGTGAGAGGAGAGCGGGAAGGGTGTGTTGGGGTGTGTGTGTGTGTGTGTATATGTACTGACCTGTGGTAAACACTACAGGTAAACAATAATAAACACTACAGATAAACAATAATAAACACTACAGGTAAACAATAATAAACACTACAGGTAAACAATAATAAACACCACAGATAAACAATAATAAACACTACAGGTAAACAATAATAAACACTACAATCAAACAATAATAAACACCACAGGTAAACAATAATAAACACTGTAACAATAATAAACACCACAGGTAAACAATAATAAACACCATAGGTAAACAATAATAAACACTACAGGTAAACACTAATACAGACACCACACGTATACACTGGCTGGCTGTGCATTTATCTCAAAAGTCCGGTTCCCCCAACAAATATTTCCCCAGCTAGAATGAACAACTTTCCCCTTCCCCCTCCTCCCCTCCCCCCCCGTTTTTTTTTACCTCGCCCGCCAGCCCTGTTAAACCCTTTTCGTTCTGAGGTTCGGGAGTTAATTACAAAACAAGGACTTAAATTCCCTTCCATGGATATTTTTTTTTTATTTGGGAAGCTGCTGCGTCATGACCAAACTCTGTAGCCTTCATTTAATAATGGTCTCTCAAGGTGGAACTGTGTGTGTGTGTGTGTGTTGTGTGTGTGTGTTTGTTTTAAGCCATGCAAGTGAAAGAGGGACTTTCTATACACCCGTGAATGAGAGACCACCATTATTTTTTTCGTGAAATAAGTTTGTCCGATATTTCACATGGGGTGACTGTGATGACTGCATGGTGACTGTGTAGTGACTGTATGGTACTCACTGGTAACTGCCTCCTATAACTTGGTGATTGTATATGGTGATTAACTGGTGACTATTGATTGTTTGGTGATTGTCATGACTGTGTGGTGACTGTGGTGTGTATAGTGACTGCCTATAGTGACTGGTGAGTGTATGGTGACTGTGTGGTGACTGTGGTGTGTATGGTGACTGTGATAACTATGTGGTGACTGTGGTGTGTATAGTGACTGTGTGGTGATTGTGATAACTATGTGGTGATTTGGTGTGTATGGTGACTATAGTGACTGTATACACACTCCCTCTGGTTCACACACTATATACCACACCAGGTGACCACTTCGGGATGAGGGACGGTGCGGTCTACTGCCGTCCACACTACAACTCATCCTCCAATCAGAGGCCGAGATGGAGGCGGTGGGCGTGTCGGCGGGGATGTCGTACCCGCCCCTCTCCCCCGCCACGCCCCGCCTCGCCTTCTACAACGGGGTGGGGGCAGCGCAGAAGGGGCGGCCGAGGAAGAGAAAAATCCCCAGCGAGGACATGCCGCCCTTGACGCCCCTCACGCCTGGCATGGGTAAGTGTTATATACCTCCCCCTCAAGTGTTATATCAACCACTTCAAGTGTTACCCTCGGTGTTCTTCAAATTGAATCACTTGAAGACTAACCACCCTAACGCTGACATAACACTCACCAAAAACTAAACTAACCTAACACTAACCTAAAACTAACCTAACCTAAAACTAACCTAACCTAAACCTAAAACTAACCTAACACTAACCTAAAACTATTAAAAACTAACCTAACTAACACTAACCTAAAACTAACCTAAACCTAAAACTAACCAAAAAACTAACCCCACAACTAACCTAATACTAACCAAAACCTACTAAAACTAACAAAAACTAACCTAACACTAACCTAAAACTAACCTAACCTAACACTAGCAAAAGCAACTTACTTACTAACCTAAAGCTTCTTAACTACGTAATAACGTAACCCCACTCAGGTAGCGTTAAGGTATTTAATCTACAGGTGATCTTTAATTTTATTTTTATTTATTTATTTTTATTTTTTTATTTTTATTTTTTTGCTTCTGTCCTTAATAAGTCTTCGTTGGCAAGTCGGCTGGCTGGGAGGTCATACTTGGGAGGTCATGCTTGGGAGGTCATGCTTGGGAGGTCATGCTTGGGAGGTCATACTTGGGAGGTCATACTTGGGAGGTCACACTTGGGAGGTCATACTTGGGAGGTCATACTTGGGAGGTCATGTTTTGGTGGTCATACTTGGGAGGTCATACTTGGGAGATCATGTTTTGGTGGTCATCTTGGAAGGTCCCGTTTTGGAGGTCATGTTTAAGAGGTCACACTGAGGAGATCATGCTTAGAGGTTCATGTTTTAGTGGTTATACTTGGAGGTCATTATTGGGAGGCCATGCTTGTCCACATTTTAATACACCAAACCACAACTAAGCTACAGACAACCAATTAAATCCTCGCTATTCTTTTTCCTTGACTGTATATATCATACACATATAGCGATTAAAACAGCAAAATATAAACACCATTATCAGCTTACGTACCCCAAAAACACCATTATCAGCACGTACCCCCAAAAAACACCATTATCAGCTTACGTCCCCCAAAAACACCATTATCAGCTTACGTACCCCCAAAAAACACCATTATACACTTCCCCAAAACACCATTATCAACACATACCCCCAAAAACACCATTATCAGCTTACGTACAAAAACACCATTATCAGCTTACGTACCAACACCATTATCAGCACGTACCCCCAAAACACCATTATCAGCACATACCCCCAAAACACCATTATCAGCTTACGTACCAAAAACACCATTATCAGCACGTACCCCAAAAACACCATTATCAGCTTACGTACCCCCAAAACACCATTATCAGCTTACGTACCCCAAAAACACCATTATCAGCTTACGTACCCCAAAAAACACCATTATCAGCGTACCCCCAAAACACCATTATCAGCTTACGTACCCCAAAAACACCATTATCAGCTTACGTACCCCAAAACACCATTATCGGCTTACGTACCAAAAACACCATTATCAGCTTACGTACCCCAAAAACACCATTATCGCAAACGTAAACCATCTTAAAAACACCATTATCAGCTTACGTACCCCCAAAAACACCATTATCAACCGCCCCCAAAAACACCATTATCAGCTTACGTACCCCCAAAAAACACCATTATCAGCTTACGTACCCCAAAAACACCATTATCAGCTTACGTACCCCCAAAAACACCATTATCAGCTTACGTACCCCCAAAACACCATTATCAGCTTACATGCTCTTCAAAAACACCATTATCAGCTACTCCCCAAAACCCATTATCAGCTTACGCTAAAACACCATTATCAACTTACGTACCCCCAAAAACACCATTATCAGCTTACGTACTCCCAAAAACACCATTATCAGCTTACGTACCCCCAAAAAACACCATTATCAGCTTACGTACCCCCAAACACCTTATCAGCTTACATCCCCCAAAAAACACCATTATCATTATGTACCCCCAAAAAACACTATCAACAGACTTTAAAACACAAACAAACATTTTCACAACACAAAAATTGATAGACAAAAGAGAATTGCCATCAAGACTCCCTACGTGTTTACAAAGTGTGTGTGTGTGACGTCACTAAACAAAAGACGCTCTTAAATGCCGGAGCCTGGTGAACCAACCAGCCCTGCCCACCACTTTACCCTAATTACTTATTTCGGTCTATCAAGCTTATGTTATTAGTTAATTGTCCAGTGGTGGGAAAGGAGAAGGGGAGGAGAGAATGGGAAGGGAAGGGAGAGAAGGAAGGGAGATGGGAGGAATTAGTGTAAGGAGGAGGGAAGGAGAGTGAGGGAGGCAAGTGAGGAAGGACAGGGTGGGAAGGACAGGGAGGAGAGGGACAGGAGGAGGGACAGGGAGGAGTTTACAGTGAAAAAAGAAAAAAAAAGGCCTAAAGGGAGGCTGTGTGCGAGATGAAGGTAAAGCCTGTGAGGCGAGGGAAAGAGGGAGAGAAGGAGGGGAGGAGGAGGGAGAGGTTGTTTACACAGGCTCACTCTCACATGGTAAATAAACCGACAGCAGATCGACTTTGAGCCTCTACGTTTTTGCCAACACTCCAATGCCACTCTGAAATCCTGCCGATAACATGATGGAGGGAGGGGGAGGGGGAGGGAAAAGATGGGAGGGAAGGAGGAGGACAGTAGTGGGGGGGGGAAGAAAAGAAGGAGGGAGGAACATGTGTCTTTATTTAATCCTTTTCTCTGTCTTGCTCTTGAAAAGTCAGTGATGCATGGAGGATAGCGTGCAGGGTATTGGCAGAGCACACACACCCGTGAATGGTTCCCTCTGGCCGGGGGTTTACTAAGGCAAACACAGCGCCACGCCAGTAACCTCCCTACCGTGTACCCCCGTTTTCTCTCACACGGGCACCACCAACGTAAACGCCTTTTCTACGCAAGAAATTACACACACACACACAAACACATCCAAATTCTGGCATATATCCACAGCGTTAAACACTAAGTCTATTTCCTTAAAGTGAACTTGGGTTTGATATCTCTCCGTTCTTATCCCTTTACTCACGCAAACAACACACACACAAGAAGAGGCGAGTGAGGTGATAAAACATGACGAACTCAAACAAGGTCCATTTCTGTGTCGTCAGTCAACAGAGAGCATATGTTTGAATGCAGCGCCGTGTTTGCCTAAGAGATGAAATGGGCGCCATGAATTATATAATGCGATGAGGCCCATTGATGCGGAGGAGGGAGGAGGGAGGAGGGGAGGGAGGAGGGGGTAGGAGGGAAGGGAGGGAGGGAGGAGAGGAAGCTTTGATGGTTATTGAGGCTATTCCTGTGATAATCTCAGCGGCTCAGTGCCAGATCTCACTTAACTTCCATCGTCCCTCCCTCCTCCTCCCCTCATCCCCCACCCCTCTCTCTCCTTCAGCTGTGTGTGTAAGTTGGTTGTATGTTTGTTGAAGTCACATAACTTTGCTTGTCTTTCTATTTGTCAGTCTGTCGGTCGATCGGTTGCTTGCGATCAGCCGGTCGGTCGGTCTGCCGGTCGGTCAGTCAGTCGGTCAGTCGGTCGGTCGGTCGGTCGGTCTGCCGGCCGGTCGGTCGGTCGGTCTTGCCGGCCGGTCGGTCGGTTGGTCAATAAGTCACCCGGTTGGTCAGTTGGTCGGTCAGCCTTTTCAGTCAGATGGAAGAGCAGGATTGTATGACTGATATAAACTCTATCTTGTTTGGTATAACACGTACACTCAAGGCTTCAGAACTAATTCCTTAAACAAACTGGATAGGATAGGATAGGATAGGTTAGGTTAGGTTAGGTTAGGTTAGAGTAAAGATCATTAACTTAAAGTGAAATAAGCTGGAGTGTGTGTAATCTTCAGGTGATCCGTGATAAAGAACTGGTACCCGAGCACGTGGACCAGCCAGTGTGTGAGACGCTTGGTATCACGTGATTCTCAATGGTACTGGTGAAGGTAAATTTACCTCTCCAGACCAAACAACCTCACACACACACACACACACACAAAACTATTACGCCGGCAGAGGTACACAAACACCTTCGCCTCCTCCCCGTGTTGTTTCAAGCCAGGAAAACCGCCACCAACACGAGCGAGGCTTTAGAGATGATGATGCCGCAGCCACAAGCCCCCTCCCAGGTGTAGAAGCAGTACGTGATAGAGGTAATGTCCGGGACGCCCCCTGTGACAGTCCCCGGCAGCCCCAGCAGGTGAGGTGTTGTGGGACCAAACACTCGTAGCGGAAGCAAGGCGTCTCTCAAACACCTCCATCAAAGACGCCGACCAAGTGACGCAGCCGACACCAAACTGGAGGGAATTAAAGAGGCGGCGGCAGAGGGTAGTAATGAGGCCTCGGAACAACACCCTAGACACGCGGAGGGTCGTCCTTCGTCACGCAGCTCCTCATCAAGGGGGTGATTATACCTCCCCGGCACCGTCTTCCTCAGCAGTACAAGGACCCCCCAACCCCTCCTTCCAGTCTCTTATCTGCAGGGTATTACGTGAGCTACCAGCCTCCTGCTCCGTCTCCCCTACAATCATCAACCAAATTTCCAGCTTTTCTTCCACTCTCTCTCTCTCGCTGCGACGTCTATCATTACCGGGTAAACCTTCGTCATGGTGTATTGAGGTGAGCTCGCCTGGAGGAGGTCATACGGGCCACCAAAACCTCCCCGTCACCCCTATACCTGAAGCTGGACCCTTTATCTCGGGTGATCCAGTACTGCCTAAACTACTGAGAGTCTTCTTCTTGTAAGTTTATAAACACTCGGTAGCTCATCATTATCCCGTGATAAAACAAAACACTAACGCAACTCAACACTACAAACACACCACACAAACACCACAACACAACGTAACACAACACAAAACAACACACAACACAAAACAGCATACAACACAAAACAACACAAAACAACAACAACACAAAACAACACACCACAACACAACACACCACAAACACAACACACAAACACCACAACACAA